TAATACACTGATAATTTTTTAATAAATGCTTAGCATTACTGTACTGGGTTTTTCATGTTAGATGCAATATTATGGAACATTATCAAAACTAATGTTACTAATAATTTTTTTTTATTATTATTAGCACACTGGCCGATTCCCACCAAGGCAGGGTGGCCCGAAAAAGAAAAACTTTCACCACCATTCACTCCATCACTGTTTTGCCAGAAGGGTGCTTTACACTACAGTTTTTAAACTGCAACATTAACACCCCTCCTTCAGAGTGCAGGCACTGTACTTCCCATCTCTGGGACTCAAGTCTGGCCTGCCGGTTTCCCTGAATCCCTTCATAAATGTTACTTTGCTCACACTCCAACAGCACGTCAAGTATTAAAAACCATTTGTCTCCATTCACTCCTATCAAACACGCTCACGCATGCCCGCTGGAAATCCAAGCCCCTCGCACACAAAAAAACCTCCTTTACCCCCTCCCTCCAACCTTTCCTAGGCCGACCCCTACCCCGCCTTCCTTCCACTACAGACTGATACACTCTTGAAGTCATTCTGTTTTGCTCCATTCTCTCTACATGTCCGAACCACCTCAACAACCCTTCCTCAGCCCTCTGGACAACAGTTTTGGCAAACCCGCACCTCCTCCTAACTTCCAAACTACGAATTCTCTGCATTATATTCACACCACACATTGCCCTCAGACATGACATCTCCACTGCCTCCAGCCTTCTCCTCGCTGCAACATTCATCACCCATGCTTCACACCCATAAAAAGAGCGTTGGTAAAACTATACTCTCATACATTCCCCTCTTTGCCTCCAAGGACAAAGTTCTTTGTCTCCACAGACTCCTAAGTGCACCGCTCACCCCTTTCCCCTCATCATTTTTACGATTCACCTCATCTTTCATAGACCCATCCGCTGACACGTCCACTCTCAAATATCTGAATACATTTACCTCCTCAATACTCTCTCCCTCCAATCTGATATCCAATCTTTCATCACCTAATCTTTTTGTTATCCTCATAACCTTACTCTTTCCTATATTCACTTTTAATTTTCTTCTTTTACATACCCTACCAAATTCATCCACCAACTTCTGCAACTTCTCTTCAGAATCTCCCAAGAGCACAATGTCATCAGCAAAGAGCAACTGTGACAACTCCCACTCTATGTGTCTTTCTTTATCTTTTAACTCCACGCCTCTTGCCAAGACCCTCGCATTTACTTCTCTTACTACCCATCTATAAATATATTAAACAACCACGGTGACATCACACATCCATGTCTAAGGCCTACTTTTACTGGGAAATGATCTCCGTCTCTAACTTGAGCCTCACTATCCTCGTAAAAACTCTTCACTGCTTTCAGTAACCTACCTCCTATACCATACACCTGCAACATCTGCCACACTGCCCCCCTATCCACCCTGTAATATGTCTTTTCCAAATCCATAAATGCGACAAAAACCTCTTTAGCCTTATCTAAATACTGTTCACTTATATGTTTCACTGTAAACACCTGGTCCACACACCTCCTACCTTTCCTAAAGCCTCCTTGTTCATCTGCTATCCTATTCTCCGTCTTACTCTTAATTCTTTCAATAAAACTCGACCATTTCACTTTACCAGGTATACTCAACTGACTTATTTCCCCCCATAATTTTTGCACTCTCTTTTGTCCCCTTTGCCTTTATACAAAGGAACTATGCATGCTCTCTGCCAATCCCTAGGTACCTTACCCTCTTCCCTACAATTATTAAATAATAGCACCAACCACTCCAAAACTATATCCTCACCCGCTTTTAACATTTCTATCTTTATCCCATCAATCCCAGCTGCCTTACCCCTTTCATTTTACCTACTGCCTCACGAACTTCCCCCACACTCACAACTGACTCTTCCTCACTCCTATAAGATGTTATTCCTCCTTGCCCTATATAGGAAATCACAGCTTCCTACTTCATCAACATTAACAATTCCTCAAAATATTTCCTCCATCTTCCTAATACCTCTAACTCTCCATTTAATAACTCTCCTCCTATTTTTAACTGACAAATCCATTGTTCTCTAGGCTTCCTTAACTTGTTAATCTCACTCAAAACTTTTTTTTATTTTCAACAAAATTTGTTGATAACATCTCACCCACTCTCTCATTTGCTCTCTTTTTACATTGCTTCAACACTCTCTTAACCTCTCTCTTTTTCTCCATATACTCTTCCCTCCTTGCATCACTTCTACTAATAATACAGACATAATAAAATAAGCTGTACACTACGTATTTAGAATGAGAACAATAAAATATTTTTCACACATTGTTACCTCAAACACACATAAAGTGTGCCTAAACCTAGTACGTACAACACTTAATTGTTAGTTTGGGTTGACTAAAAAGTATCTATCAACTGTTTATTTTAAGGCTTATCCCTGTGAATGTAAAGCCAAATTAGTGACAGTACGAATAAAAACTGAATGCCCTTTGTCCAGTCTTTGTTTGTTTTTACTCGTTTGTATTTTTGTTTCTTCCATTCCATACCTTCAGCATTTCTCCCAGTGCATGCAGTGCTAGCTGAGGCCATTGTCATTCTTTTCTCATTCCTGTTTTTCTGTACAAACACATGAACACACGGGTTTGTTGAACTTTTCAGCAAACTTTATAAGTGCTCTTTCACAAGGCTTACTTAGAAGCAGCTACAATGTCCATGGATAATTCTACATGAAGTCGTTACCACCACCAGAAAGATATAGGTATCTATCTATCTATCTATATCTATCTCTATATCTATCTATCTATATCTATCTATCTATATCTATCTATATCTATCTATCTATCTATATCTATCTATATCTATCTATCTATATCTATCTATATCTATATCTATCTATATCTATCTATCTATATCTATCTATCTATATCTATCTATCTATATCTATCTATATCTATCTATCTATATCTATCTATCTATCTATATCTATCTATATCTATCTATATCTATCTATCTATATCTATCTATCTATATCTATCTATCTATATCTATCTATCTATATCTATCTATCTATATCTATCTATCTATCTATCTATCTATCTCTCTCTCTCTCTCTCCAAGATATTACTGGCTTAAGTGGTAGCACCTTTGGCTCACAGTTAAAGGACCTGGTTTCAACCCCTGTATAAGCAGAAATGCTGGGCATGTTTCCTTATACCTACTGCTTCTGCTCATGTAGCAGTGGGCATTAGCAGACTGTTGTGAGTTGCATCCCAGGGAAGAGGATCAAAAGATGTGAAAGGAGATAAGCCAACATAATGGCTTTCTTGGGTTATCCTTATCCTGAGTTAACCCTGTTGGTTAAAGTTTAGTTTTTATTTTAACCCTTTCAGGGTCCAGAGGCCAAATTTCAAAGTGTGCACCAGTGTCCAAGAATTTTCAAAAAAAAATTTTTTTTCTTATGAAATGGTAGAGTAGCTTTTTAGGAAGGTAATAAAACAAAAAGTACAAAATTTGATGGAAAATTGACGAAATTATGCTCTCGCGAATTTTGATGTGTTAGCGATATTTACGCATCGGTGATTTTGCCGACTTTGACTCCCATTTTAGGCCAATTACATTATTCCAGTCAACCAAATTCTTAGCTATTTCACTAGTATTACTTCTATCGATTGAGCACAAAAATTCACCAAGTCAACTGTTTCAACTACAAAATAAAGTGATCGGAAATTGATAATTTGGCCAATTTAATGCAAAGTTCAAAATACTCCAGTTTCCAAACAGGGTCCAGAATAAACAATGCAGGCATTCCTGGCACTAAACTAATATTTCCTCTGTTCATTAGTTATGTTTTCAGGCTAATAAATTCCATTTTGATTTTTTATTCAAATAATGAATTTTTATTCAAACCAAAAAATAGAAGATTTACTGTCATGCAATATTGTAATAATTGTATAAATAATATCATCACATTTGTGAACGTATATTAGACCCACCAGCAGGCGTGTATTAGACGTGTGAAGTCATTTGTTTACTCTTGAACATCAGCAAAAATTTAACATTTCCGCTACCTTGAGCTCAGTTTCAAGCCATTTCCGGTACTAAAATCAATCAAAATCATCTCTATTTCAGTAATATATCTTCCATTCTATCAAATGAGACCAAGAAATCACAAATACAACTATAAAAAACATACGAAAAAACAATGCAAAGTCGCTGTTTTAATAAAAAATTACGGTCTCAGTTTTTTCTCTCATTATGCACTATGTGCTGCAGGATTTGTTTTATGTGATGCACACATACCACATAGATGTATTCTCTCATATCTAGGCCAAAATTAACTGCTCACAGCTTATCAGAGTAAGTGAGATCATGACGTAGATCTACGGTTTGGACCCTTAACATAAAGCAGTAGATCTATGGCACGGACCCTCAGAGGGTTAACACATCGGCCATTTCCCACCAAGGCAGGGTGACCCAAAAAAGAAGAAACATTCATCATCATTCACTCCATCACTAAGGTGCACTTACACAACAGTTAAAAAAACTGCAACATATCAACACCCCTCCTTCAGTACAAAGGCACTGTACTTCCCACCTCCAAGACTCTAAGTTCAGCTTGCCAGTTTCCCAGAATATCTTCATAAATGTTACTCTGCTCACACTCCAACAGCACATCGAGTCATAAAAACCATTTGTCTCCACTCGCTCCTATTTAACATGCTCACACATGCTTGCTGGAAGTTCAAGCCCCTTGCACACAAAACCTTCTTTACCCCCTCCCTCCAGCCATTCTCAGGCTGACTGCTACCCCGCCTTCCTTCCACTACAGATAATAATACAAGATCCAGATAAAATCTTCCTTCTCTTAACACTAAAAATTTTTTAACAATAAATTTTTATTAAATTGTCAAAGCAAAATCTGAAAATGAAATTTTCTCCATTGAAATGAAACAAAATGCCATATTTTTTAAATGTGAAATGCTGTAACCCATTTGCATAATATACTGGAATTTGTTACTTACACTTAATTTGGAGGCATCTGGAACAATGAGGCTAGTAGAGACAGGTGCAACTGGCACATATCCACCAAGATCTTCAGGATACTTCATGATGAATGGGATGGAGAACCTACCGCTCATTGAGGGTGACACCAGTATAACCTGAGTAATCCTTAAGCTGGTCATAAAAGTGTGCAGATAATCAGCTGGCTCATCTATCTGTGCACTTTGGGTCTTCCCAAACCCTTGTAAATCAAACAAAACAAACGTAAGCAAAAAATATAAACTAAGGAAATAGATGTCTAATAAAACACTGTAATCTATACAGCCTCTCCTCGCTTAGCGATGTACTCGTTTGCTGACGACTTGGACTTACGACAGGCTCTCTGACCAATATGAATACCTAAATAATGTATATTATAGCTGATTTCCTCTATTCTGTTAATTACAATATACAGTACACTACTGCATAAACATTTAAAAATGTACAAGAAATGTTATAAATGGTGCAAAGGTGACATTAAAACAATATCAAAGATGGCTGACACAAACCTACTACCATAATAGTATGCTCCTCACTTAGCGACGAATTATTTACCGACGTGATCTGAGGAACGGAACTCTGTCGTTAAGTGAGGAGAGGCTGTATACACAATCTTATTCCAAGGGGATGTAAAATAAATATAAACTTGCAAAAGTAAAAAAAATCACATAAAAGGTAGCGTTTATCAACAGTGAATGCAAAAGTTTTATTAGTACAAGATCTTTCACTCCTGCAGTACTTGCTAACATGAGAAACTGCTACAAAAGTCATATAAATGATGACATTCCTCGAGCCAGGTGAGAAATAATCATTGTGAAAGAGCTTGATTTTACACACATTACTAGCTAGTAAATTACACTTATTTAAAGAAGTAATTTTAATCCATATTTTATCATCTAAACACCATTTAACCCTTAAACTGTCGAAATGCAGATCTACGTTCACATGCGTAGCTCTCCGAACATAGATCTACGTTTCATTTTACATGCTTTCAAATGTAAAAAAAAAAATGTAGATCTATGTTCAAAGTGCATGTGAATGTAGATCGACATTTGGACAGTTTAAGAGTTAAACTACAGCATAGACAAGTTGAAGAAATAATCAAGCTGAGGTTTTTCAATAATATAATTTTCTGTAGTATAAAACAACTTTCTATTTTAGTTACATGAACCACTAATACAAACAGCAATCTATCCAATCCTCTAAAATGCTAGTAATAGACTGTTAGATCACTTTTTTTTTGCCTAGTATGTTATCTGTTTACATTTTTCTGCACATCTGCACTCCCCCATTCTGTTTGCACCACTCCCGCTCCATTCGGGATAGTCTGGTGAGGAACAGTTAACAGGGAGAGAGGGCTGATACAGCAGTTCCTGGAACCATCCAGAGAAAATAGTTTTTCATATTTTAAAACTGAATAGTGTGTATTTAGGTTTCATGAACCACTAATAGGAATCCTACCACCAGTTCACCAGGGCCCTCCTGTATACAAATAAAATCATCTTAACATGGTTGCTGGTATCCTCAAATCTCAAACAATTCCTCTATGAAGCCTTGCTATGTATTATTCTAAAATATATGTGGGGTGTATTATTACACTGAAAATATTTTAGTATGTGATAGTACAGTGGACCCCCGGATATCGTAGTTGTCAGATTTCATAACATTCAGTAATCGTAACATTTTTTCATCAAAATATTGGCTCGGTGATCGTCATTTACCTCGGTAATAGTCGTTCGTCCCAAACGCGTATGAGCGGCCCCACACACTATCAAACACCATTCAAACTCAGTCTGCTACTGTCTATCAGCGAGTGACCATCACCTCACGCGGTCATACGATACATTTCGTAATTTCCATTCTTTTTTGTACTTGCAACTGCTAAGTAAGCCACCATGGGCCCAAAGAAAGCTTCTAGTGCCAGCCCTTTGGTAAAGAAGGTGAGAAACACTATAGAATTCAAGAAAGACATCACTGCAAAATATGAAAGTGGAGTACGTGTGGCAGAGCTTGCCAGGTTGTACAAGAAACCCTATACAACAATCACTTCCATTGTGGCCAAGAAAAAGGAAATCAAGGAAGCTGTTGTTGTGAAAGGTGCAAATATGCTTACAAAACAGAGATCTCAAATACTCAAAGATGTGGAGACTTTGTTGTTGGTGTGGATCAACAAAAAACAGTGTTATGCAGTCGATAATTTGTGAAAAGGCAAGTCAGTTGCATGATGATCTCATAAAAAAAATGCCTGGAACTAGTGAATTTAAGGCCAGTAAAGGCTGCTTTGAGAGATTTAAGAAGCATAGTGGCATACTACAGTGTGGTAAGGCATGGCGAGGCTGCAAGTTCTGACAAATATGCAGCTGAAAAATATGTTCAGGAATTCAAGGGGTACACAGAGGCTGAACAATTCAAACCCCAACAAGTGTTCAATTGTGACGAAACAGGCCTCTTTTGGAAGAAAATGCCAAAGAGGACCTACATCACGCAGGAGGAAAAGGCACTGCCAGGACACAAGCCTATGAAAGACAGGATAACTGGCTAACTCTCATGTTCTGTAGTAATGCTAGTGGGGATTTCAAAGTGAAGCCTTTACTGGCGTATCATTCTGAAAATCCCAGTGTGTTCAAGAAAAACAGTGTCATCAATAGCAAATTGTGTGTGATGTGGAAGGCAAATAGTAAGGCATGGGTCATGAAGGAAATTTTCCTTGATTGGGTCAATGAAGTGTTTGGAAGGCAAATAGTAAGGCATGGGTCATGAAGGAAATTTTCCTTGATTGGGTCAATGAAGTGTTTCGCCGAGTGTGAAGATATACATACCTCCTGGAAAATAAATTGGAACTCAAAGTGCCTCCTGGTACTGGACAATGCTCCTGCTCATCCTCCAGACTTGGATGAGCAAATTATGGAGGAGTTTCATTTCATCACAGTGAAGTTCTTGCCCCCTAATACCACTCCTCTCCTCCAGCCCAAGGACCAGCAGGTCATTTCAAACTTCAAAAAACTCTACACCAAAGCAATGTTTCAAACATGCTTTGACATAACCTCAGACACTGAATTGACTCTAAGAGAGTTCTAGAATTATCACTTCAGTATACTCCACTGCATAAACCTTATAGGTAAGGCTTGGGAGGAGTGACTTAAAGGACTTTGAATGCTGCTTGGAGAATGTGTCCAAGAGAGGGATTTTGAAGGGTTCGGGGCTGACTCTGATGAGCCTATGGCAGTTGTGGAAAGTACTGAGGCACTGGGAAATTCCATGGGGTTGGAGATGAGTGGTGAGGATATGGAAGAGTTGGTGGAGGACTAAAGGGAAGAGCTAACCACAGAAGAGCTGCAAGGCCTTCATCTGCAACAGCAACAGACCACAGCTCAGGAAAATGCTTGAGGAGGAGGAAGAGAGATGGAAAAAGGTGCCCTCTTCAAAGATTAAGGACATCTGTGCAAAGTGGAGTGAGGTGCAAACATTTATGGATAAACATCACCCTGACAAAGCTGTTGCAGGCCATGTTGGCAACATGTACAATGACAGTGTCGTGTCCCATTTTAAGGAAATTTTAAAGAAATGCCAGAAACAGAGCTCTCTGGAACAATTTTTTGAGCAACAGGGGTCCAGTGACTCTCAAGCTGGTCCTAGTGGCATTAAAAAACAAAGAAGGGAAGTAACCCCAGAAAAGGACTTGGTACATGAAGTCTTTGTGGAAGGGGATTCCCTTTCCAAACAATAGTAACTCCTCCATCCTCTCCCCTCCTCCCATCTTCCATACATCAACAAGTCTTCAATGAATAGTCTTGTGAATACTATTGTTTATTCTTCATGTCTCATTGTTTACTGTGTAAGTAAATGTATATTTCATGTAAAAAAAGTTTTTTTTTTTAATACTTTTATTTTTATTTTTATTATCACACTGGCCGATTCCCACCAAGGCAGGGTGGCCCGAAAAAGAAAAACTTTCACCATCATTCACTCCATCACTGTCTTGCCAGAAGGGTGCTTTACACTACAGTTTTTAAACTGCAACATTAACACCCCTCCTTCAGAGTGCAGGCACTGTACTTCCCATCTCCAGGACTCAAGTCCGGCCTGCCGGTTTCCCTGAATCCCTTCATAAATGTTACTTTGCTCACACTCCAACAGCACGTCAAGTATTAAAAACCATTTGTCTCCATTCACTCCTATCAAACACGCTCACGCATGCCTGCTGGAAGTCCAAGCCCCTTGCACACAAAACCTCCTTTACCCCCTCCTCCAACCCTTCCTAGGCCGACCCCTACCCCGCCTTCCTTCCACTACAGACTGATACACTCTTGAAGTCATTCTGTTTCGCTCCATTCTCTCTACATGTCCGAACCACCTCAACAACCCTTCCTCAGCCCTCTGGACAACAGTTTTGGTAATCCCGCACCTCCTCCTAACTTCCAAACTACGAATTTTCTGCATTATATTCACACCACACATTGCCCTCAGACATGACATCTCCACTGCCTCCAGCCTTCTCCTCGCTGCAACATTCATCACCCACGCTTCACACCCATATAAGAGCGTTGGTAAAACTATACTCTCATACATTCCCCTCTTTGCCTCCAAGGACAAAGTTCTTTGTCTCCACAGACTCCTAAGTGCACCACTCACTCTTTTTCCCTCATCAATTCTATGATTCACCTCATCTTTCATAGACCCATCCGCTGACACGTCCACTCCCAAATATCTGAATACGTTCACCTCCTCCATACTCTCTCCCTCCAATCTGATATTCAATCTTTCATCACCTAATCTTTTTGTTATCCTCATAACCTTACTCTTTCCTGTATTCACCTTTAATTTTCTTCTTTTGCACACCCTACCAAATTCATCCACCAATCTCTGCAGCTTCTCTTCAGAATCTCCCAAGAGCACAGTGTCATCAGCAAAGAGCAGCTGTGACAACTCCCACTTTGTGTGTGATTCTTTATCTTTTAACTCCACGCCTCTTGCCAAGACCCTCGCATTTACTTCTCTTACAACCCCATCTATAAATATATTAAACAACCACGGTGACATCACACATCCTTGTCTAAGGCCTACTTTTACTGGGAAAAAATTTCCCTCTTTCCTACATACTCTAACTTGAGCCTCACTATCCTCGTAAAAACTCTTCACTGCTTTCAGTAACCTACCTCCTACACCATACACTTGCAACATCTGCCACATTGCCCCCCTATCCACCCTGTCATACGCCTTTTCCAAATCCATAAATGCCACAAAGACCTCTTTAGCCTTATCTAATATACTGTTCACTTATATGTTTCACTGTAAACACCTGGTCCACACACCCCCTACCTTTCCTAAAGCCTCCTTGTTCATCTGCTATCCTATTCTCCGTCTTACTCTTAATTCTTTCAATTATAACTCTACCATACACTTTACCAGGTACACTCAACAGACTTATCCCCCTATAATTTTTGCACTCTCTTTTATCCCCTTTGCCTTTATACAAAGGAACTATGCATGCTCTCTGCCAATCCCTAGGTACCTTACCCTCTTCCATACATTTATTAAATAATTGCACCAACCACTCCAAAACTATATCCCCACCTGCTTTTAACATTTCTATCTTTATCCCATCAATCCCGGCTGCCTTACCCCCTTTCATTTTACCTACTGCCTCACGAACTTCCCCCACACTCACAACTGGCTCTTCCTCATCCTACAAGATGTTATTCCTCCTTGCCCTATACACGAAATCACAGCTTCCCTACTTTTGGGTGTATAAAACGGATTAATTGGATTTACATTATTTCTTATGGGGAAAATGAATTTGGATATCATCAAATTCGGTTTTAGTCACACTCTCTGGAACGGATTAATTACGATAACCGGGGGTCCACTGTACTTACTGTGTAATCAGAATATTTAGTATGTTACTGACCCCCATATTTTTTGGAGCCTACCATTAATGTTAACATGAAGAATGTTACATGAGCTTAACCTGTATCGAAAATATCTTAAAGACCCACACTGAGCAGTTGGTTGTACAAAGTGTTTTTATTTTATTCTTCACTGTATACAGGGTTTAGTGGAAGACAAAAACATTGTGTTCAAAGGTATCTCACAGGACATCATAGTAAGAACATGTTCCCAAAATTGGTTTATCCAATTACTGCTTATACTACTACCTTAAATACTTTTTGTTTTTGTTTTTTATTTTGCTTATTTAACGTATACTGCCTATGTACCACTTTTCATACTGCTGATATTGATGTATACTGCATATGTACCACTTTTCATCCAGTTGATATTAATAAAACGAAATAGATCGAGACATATTTTCACACAAATAATGAATCACTTCCTCCAACTCCCCAAATATAAGCTCACCTGGTAAGTCAACAGCAATAATGTGATGTCCCATAGCTGCCAGGAGGTTAATGGTGTTGAGGTCAAGCCATGTTTTCGATTGAAATGCTGCACCATGTAAGAGCACTACCACCTCACCGCTACTAGCCACACCTTCTGGAGGCTGAGCCTCGCGATAGAAAGTATTTGACCCCTGGAAAACATTAATCAAAGTTATGTAAATAAGGCAACATGAGGGCTGGAACCAAGGAACCCATGCAGCAACTCCGCACAAAAAAATATTACCCTGACACCTACTGCTACCACTTGTGCCATCTCACACCCTCTGCCACTCTACTTTCTACTTCAGAAACAATGGCAAATACCCAAATTAACTTACTCAACAAGATGGTATTATTTTTTATGACTTATGACTTTAGCATATTTCTGAAAAATGTTCGTAAAGTGTTTGGGACTTGGAACCTATTTTCCCAAAGACGTAATCAGAAATCTGTTTCCAAGCCATAATATTAATAATTAATAATAATTTGGGATTTTGTTATTCTTAAGTGCCTATTCTTTCAAGAAATTTAATAGTGTTTGCAACAAGAACAATGAAGAAATACTGAAGTTTATATTCAAGAGTGACAATAGTCATCAGGATCATATGCTCTGGTAATGAAAGATTGGAGGAAGTGAATGTGCTCAGATATTTGGGAGTGGACTTGTTGGCAGAAGGGTCTATGAAAAAGGAGGCGAAGCACAGAACTGGTGAGAGAAAAAAGGTGGGTGATGCAAAGAGGTAAGAGAGTATAGTGGTACCAACCCTCTTATATGGGTGTGAAGCATGGGTTGGGAATGTTGAAGTGGGGAGGAGGCTGGAGGCGGTGGAGACATTGTGCCTGAGGGCAATGTGTAGTAATACATGTATAAATATTATGCAGAGAATTTGTAGCCTGGAGATCAGGACGTGCAGGGTTACTAAAAGTATTATCCAGAGAGCTATGGATGGGTTGTTGAGGTGGTTTGAACATTTAGAGAGGAGGCAGAAAAATAGGATGACTTGGAGGTGTATTAATCTGTAGTGGAGGGAAGGTTTGGTAGGGGTCACCGTAGGAAAAGTTGGAGAGAGGGGGGGTAAAGGAGATTTTGTGTACAAGGGGCTTGGACATCCAGCAGGCATGTGTGTGTGTGTGTTTGTTAGACAGGAGTAGAAGCAAGTGGATTTTGGGACTTGACAGGCTGCTGGAGTGTGAGGAAGATAACATTTGTAAAGGGATTCAGAAAAACCAGTTAGCCAGACTTGAGTTTGGAGGTGAGAAATACATTGCCTACTCTCTGAAGGAGGGGTGGGGATATTTGCAGTTTGGAGGGGCATCTGAACTGTAGTATTGGCTTGCCTCTGGCAAGACAGTGAAAGTTTTTTTTTTCTTTTTCAGGTCACCCTATCTTGGTGGGAGATGGCCAATGTTAAAAAAAAAAATGGGAGTGAACTTTTTGGAAGATGGGTCTATGAAAAATGGGGTGAACCACAGAATTGACAAGGTATAAGAAAAAAAAGGTGGCTGGTAATTAAGGCATCTGTGAAAACAAAGAATTTTATCCACAGAGGATAAAAGGGAAAAGTATCAGAGTATAGTTTTACCAATACTGTTTTATGGGTATGAAGAATGGTGGCAAACGTTTTAAGTATTTTTTTTTCCAATTTCAATGAAATTTTTACTGTGATTTAAGCAGCATTTGAAACCTACACTCTGTGTCTGTAGTGACTTTTTTCCTTAAAGATAGAAAAAATAAATAGTGCCCTATTCTATAGGGCATAAAACTCCCCTCCTCTACAAAATTGGTAAGACGTATAATATTCTAGCTGACATCAGCTGAAAGATAAAGGACTAGACAATCATTTCACCAATGTCATTTGTGCAAAATGTCAATAGATTGCATAATAAAAAATTCTCAGGTTCGGTGTTTTTTTTTTTAAGCATTTTTTTGGGGGAAAAAATCAATAAAAACAAAACGGTAAAAAATATCGCAAATCTCTTCTGTAATTTGGTAGAGCATCATTCCTCAATAACGTGTGCAAAAATCATGACACTCTTATAACTACTTTTCACAAAAACAACAAAACGTCAATAATTTATTTCCGATTTACACACATATTAAGTTACCTGAAAAACTCTACGGTCACAGCGTGCCAAATCTCAGCATTTTATACACCTCTACTCATGTTGACAGCCCATAGGTGACTGAGCTGCTATCACTCCCTGTTCTTGAATGGAGTCCACACACAAGTTACCATGTGGTGTATTTACAATGCAATAATCATAAAAATCGTAGTTTTTGGAGTAAAAAAAAACACTGTAGTAACTGGAATCATGTCATCTTGATGACAACAAGAGCAAAAAAAATTACATTTTTGGGAAAACATACTTAGAAATATGATAGAAACAAGCTGATTACATCAACATGTTGCTAGAATTATTCACTATTTTTCAGTAAGAAATCATTTTTTTCCATAAATTTTCAATTTTCCTTTTTTTTTATCTTTCCTGACGTGCGCCCCCCTTAACCCCTAAACGGTCCAAATGTATATACATGTATATGTTCTTACGCGTAGCGCCCCCATACGTATATATACGTTTTAAATTTCCTGCCTCCAAATTTGGCACGAATGCCCTGAGATGCCTGGTCAGCAGTGAATGGGTCTTAACACTCGGTGTGCACCATATTAAAAAATATGGGACCACTTAATACCTTGTGGGAGCACCAGTTAAACTGAGCACCAGCTAGAGCAAACAGGGCGGCAAACACCAAGGATTCACTGATGTAATGTCATATTAACACTCCTCTTTTAAGAGGAAAGTGATGTTAACCCCATGTTTAGGGTCTGTCGATTTCTGTCTGTCTATCTCTATCACTGTCTCTGTCTATCTGTCTCTGTCTCTGTCTCTATCTGTCTTTGTCTATCTCTTTCAATCTGTCTCTGTCTATCTCTGTGTCACAGGTACACATAAATACAGGTATACATAGTGTAAATTACCTAGGATAACCCAAAAAATCCACACAAAGTGCTATACTCTGCTTGAAGATGTGAGTAAACGTGATGATGCAGTCTTGTGGCTCTCTCTGAGACAGAGAGCTAGATGGATAGACAGATAGACAGGGAGCTTGACAGAGAGACAGACAGACATGTTTGTGTACCAGCGAAAACAAAGCCAGGGCCAATGCTCATCAAATGTCACCTCTAATCTTTTCTTATCAATGTTATTGCTGCACCCACGCTTATGCTCATAGCTCTTATCAGATGTTATCTCATCTTATCATGTCACTGTCAGGGAGAGACTTTGTTTTTCATGCTTCAAGGGAACTCATTATTACCCATCATCATCATCATCCTCCTCCTCCTCCCTCATTCTCCTCCTCCTCCTCATTCTCCTCCTCCACCTCATTCTCCTCTTCCTCCTCATTCTCCTCCTCCTCCTCATTCTCCTCCTCCTCAGTCTCCTGTTCCTCCTCCTCCTCCTCATTCTCCTCCTCCTCCTCCTCATTCTTCTCCTCCTCCTCCTCATTCTCCTCCTCCTCCTTATTCTTCTCCTCCTCCTCATTCTTCTCCTCCTCATTCTTCTCCTCCTCCTCGTCATTCTCCTCCTCCTCCTCCTAATTCTCCTCCTCCTCCTCCTCATTCTCCTCCTCCTCCTCATTCTCCTCCTCCTCCTCATTCTCCTCCTCCACCTCCTCATTCTCATCCTCTCCTCATTCCTCCTCATCTCCCTCCTCATTCTCCTCCTCCCCATTTCCTCCTCCTCATTCTCCTTCTCCTCCTTCTCCTCCTCCTCCTTCTCCTCCCCTTCTTCTTCTCTCTCCTCCTCCTCCTCCTTCTCCTCCTCCTCCATCTCCTTCTCCTCCATCTCCTTCTCCCTCCATCTCCTTCCTCCTCCTTCTCCTCTCCTCCTTCTCCTCCCTCCCTCCTCCTCCATCCCTTCTCCTCTCCATCTCCTTCCTCCTCTCCTCCACCTCCTTCCTCCTCCTCCTCCTCCTCCTCCTTCTCCCCCTCCTTCTCCTCCTCTTCCTCCTTCTCCTCCCCTCCTTCTCCTCCATTCTCCTCCTCTCCTTCATCCTCCTTCTTCTCCTAATCCTCCTCCTCCTTCTCCTCTCCTTCTTCTCCTCCTCCTCCTTCTCATCCTTCTCTCTTCCTCTCCTCCTCCTCCTCTCCTCCTCTCCTCCTTCTCCTCCTCCCTCCTTCTTCTCCTCTCTCCTCCTCCTCCTCCTCCTTCTCCTCCCTTCCTCCTCCTCTCCTTTCCTCCTCTTTCTCCTCCTCCTTCTCCTCTTCCCCTTCTTTTCCTCCTCCTCCTCTTCTTTCTTCTCCTCCCTCTCCTTCTCATCCTTCTCCTCTTCCTCCTTCTCCTCCTCTTCCTCCTCCTCCTTCCTCCTCTTTCTCCTCCTCCTTCTTCTCCTCCTCCTCCTTTTCCTCCTCCTCCTGCTCCTCCTTCTCCTAATCCTCCTCCTTCACTCCTCTTCCTTCTTCTCCTCCTTCTTCCTCCTCCTCCTCTCCTCCTCCTTCTCCTCTTCCTCTTCTCCTCTTCCTTCTTTTCCTCCTCCTTCTCCTCCTCCTCCTTCTCCTCTTCCTCCTCTTCCTCCTCCTTCTCCTCCTCCTTCTCCCTCCTCCTCCTCCTCCTTCTCCTCCTCCTCCTCCTCCTTTCCTCCTCCTCCTCCTTCTCCTCCTCCTCCTTCTCCTCCTCCTCCTCTCCTCCTCCTTCTCTTCTCCTCCTCCTCCTCCTCCTTGTCCTCCTCCTCCTTGTCCTCTCCTCCTTCTCCTCCTTCTCTTCCTTCTCCTCCTCCTCATCCTTCTCTTCCTCCTTCTCCTCTTCCTTCTTATCCTCCTCCTCCTCCTCCTCTTCCTCTTTCTCCTCCTCCTCCTCATTACTATTATATACTTCCACATATCCAAAACATTGCTGGGACATATAAATACTTTGTATATACAGTAGGGGGCCGCTTACACGGCAGATTAGGTTCCAGGCTACCGCCATAAAGCGGAAATCACCGTAAAGTGGAACACCCTTTTTTTCCCCTTACAAATGCATACAAATACTAGATAACAAGTTTACACTAACATATATTAAGTTAGCAATAGAACCAGGCATCAAAAAACAATGAAAAAGTAAAATACACTCATAGTGCACTCATTACTTACCTTAAAATATTTGTAGTCTT